GTGTCCCCATGGCCGGTGTCCCTGTGTCCGACGGTGTCCCCGTGGGTGATGGTTTCCCAATGGGTGACGGGGTCCCTGTGGGTGATGGTGTTCCCCATGCCCCGGTGTCCCTGTGTCCGACGGTGTCCCCGTGGGTGATGGTTTCCCAATGGGTGACGGGGTCCCTGTGGGTGATGGTGTTCCCCATGCCCCGGTGTCCCTGTGTCCGACGGTGTCCCTGTGGTTGACGGTGTCCCAACGGGTGATGGTGTCCCTATGGGTGATGGTGTCCCCATGAGTGATGGTGTCCCCATGAGTGATGGTGTTCCCCATGCCCTCGTGTCCAGCGGTGTCCCTGTGTCCGACGGTGTCCCCCCGCGGGTGACGGTGTCCCCGCACCCCAGGATGCCGTTCGGGGCGGTGCTGGCGCAGGTCGGGGGGCTGGGACGCTTCCAGGTGCTGCAGACGGCGCTGCTGGCGGTGCCCTTCCTCCTCATGGCCAGCCACAACCTGCTGCAGAACTTCACCGCCGCCGTCCCCCCCCACCGCTGCCACGTCCCCAGCGTCACCCCCGGTCCCGGTGCCACCCCGAGTGTCCCCAGCACCACCCCAGGGCCACCCGGAGCCACCCCTGATGGCACTTCAGCGGCCTCTGATGGCACCCTGAGGTCCTCCAACGCCATCCTGAGGTCTCCTGATGGCACCTTGGGGTCCCCTGGTGCCACCCTGAGGTCCCCTGATGGCAACCTGGGGTCCCCCGACGGCACCCACATCCCCGGTGTCACCCACGTCACACTGGGATCCCCTGACGGCAGCCATGTCCAGCCTGATGCCACCTCGGGGTCCTCCAATGGCACCCTGGGGCCTGCTGGTGCTACCCTGGGGTGGTCCAACGGCACCCTGGGGCCCCCTGATGCCACCCTGGGGTCCTGCCGGCGCTACGTGGCCTCGTCCCCACGGCCGCACTGGTCCCCGGCCCACCGAGCCCTGCCACGACGGCTGGGACTACGACCGCAGCATCTACGTGGCCACCATCGTCACCGAGGTGGGGCCGGGGACATGGGGATGGGAGAGGGTGAGGTGGGGAGGGATGGAGGATGAAGGGTGGGAAAGATGACCACAGTGTCCCTGTGGCCACCGACATCTCCAAGGTGGGGACAGGGAGAGCGGGGATGGAGGGATGGAACCGGGTGGAGATGTGGGGGTGGAGGTGGAGCCGTATGGGGTTGGGGGGGGATGGAGA